GGGAACATTCCAGAAGAAAAGAAGTCAGCTAAAAAGTTACTTATGCAGAAAGTACAGAGGTAATCCTGGAAAAGGAAATTAGCCAGTTTTATGGGAGTCTTAAAGTTAAAAGCCAAGGAGTCCTTAAATGTCAAAAGAGACTGAAAGTGCAGACCTTAATTAGGAGGTAACCATAATAGACTAAATATCAATACATGTGGGTCTTGGCAGCCATTGGATATGGTGGTGTTAGAGAGGGAGATGACGACAGTGATTCAAAGATTAGGATCCAAATGCTATCATCATCATATTATTGTTATTATTATTGCTAATAGGAAAAAGAAACCAGAACTAGTAAAAATCTTCCTGCATGAATATATTTGTGTTGCTTTTATTTTTGAATCCTGTTCTCCTCTAGGACACATATCCCAAGCATAAACAAACATAACAGTTTCTAGCCCTCTATGCCATATGTGGACATATGGACCAGATATGATCCCTGGACCAGAATCTAGGTTCCCAGGCTGTGGCACACAGTACTGGGATATATAGGTTACCAGCGGTGCATCATTCCATCTCCAAGTCAATCAAGAGATCAATTTTCCCCATGAGGGCTACCCTTTCTTTCTTTCTTTTTTTTTGGCTGCGCCTCAAAGCTTGCAGGGATCTTAGTTCCCCCACCAGGGATTGAACCCGGGCCCTTGGCAGTGAAAGTGCAGAGTCCTAACCACTGGACTGCCAAGGAATTCCCAGAACTAACCACTGGACTGCCAAGGAATTCCCAGAACTACCCTTTCTTAATTGTGGTAATTTATGTATCTATTCAATTAGCCCAATATTGTTTTTTCTTTCAGTATATACATTTTTTTTCCAAAAAACTGCTAAGTTGTTAAGACTTAAATAAGTTATTTGGACCCAACTACTTAATAAACAGAACTGTTAGTTTTTTTTTTTGTTTGTTTTTTTCCTCTTGGCGATGTGAGAAAAATTACTGAGATATTAAAGGTGCTGTAAACTTAAAGTTTGGGGACCACAAATGTACAACTCTGTATATAGTACTGGGCAGAGTATGAGTGCCATTAAATAGGACAAGATTTCTTTGAATCCCACTCCCAAGAATTTTTCCTCCACCCCACATCAGCTACCCAGTTCCACGGTCATATTTTAGATCTTGTCATCAGGAATAACTGTACCATTCCAGTGCCCCGTTTTCAACCATTTTCCCAGTGGAACTTCTCTTACTCAGTATCTTTTATATACATTATTCTTTACTGTTCTCTTTTGCTCACTTCCCTGCTCACCCAGCTTAGAATCCATGCAACTTTTCCCAACTACAGCCTCAGTTCTTTTCCCTTCACTTTTCCTGTCATACTTACTTGACAATACCTCTACCCTCATTAAACCTAACTCTCCAGATACTTCACCTCTGCACCTGTGCATCAAAGTGTGGCTGGAGAAAAAGACACAATCATGCTGCCTAATCAATGTTAAATTCTCAAACACATCATTGATGCCTCATGGTAAGCCTAATAAATTCACCTGATTTTCTGAGATGACTCACACCTTCTTCCTCTTCTCCAAACTCTAATACTCTTTCTCCAATCCTTTATTCCTTCCTTCACTGAAAAAATAGAATCTCTCAAAATAGACCTCATTTTCCCTCCCCAAATCTCTTACTATACCTGCATCCACATCTCTACAGTCTTTTCCCTCTTGTTTCCTGATTGAACTAGCCCCATTCTAACCTACAGCTGCTGTATTTGTATATTAGATATCAGTCTCTCTTGCCTATTCAAGGGCTTCTCTTTTTTTTTTTTTGCGGGGCCTCTCACTGTTGTGGCCTCTCCCATTGCGGAGCACAGGCTTCCGGAGGCGCAGGCTCATCGGCCATGGCTCACGGGCCCAGCCGCTCTGCGGCATGTGGGATCTTCCCAGACTGGGGCACGAACCTGTGTCCCCTGCATCGGCAGGTGGACTCTCAACCATTGCGCCACCAGGGAAGCCCAGGGCTTCTCTTTTGCATCTCAATATTTTCTTTCTCTTGTTGATCACTCCCATAAATATAAAATCATGCTATGCAGTATTTCATTTTCAAATATAGTAAAGGACCCATCTTTAATCAAACAATCACCCCGTTTGTCTGCTCCTTTTTACAGCAAAACAAAAACTTGTCTCTACTCATTGTCTCTTCCTCATCTGTCATTCTCTCTTTGATCCACTCCAGTTCTCCAATTAGGCTTTTGTTTACACCATCTACCAAAATAACTCTTATAAAGGATACTGCCATTTTGCCAGGCTCATGGTATGTTTTCAGTTTTTATCTTACTGTATTTCTCAGTAGCATTTGGCATTGATGATCATTCCTTTTATTTAGAAACACTTCCTCACTGGTTTTGGGGGTCCTGCTCTTCTAGCTTTTCTAACATCTCTTTCATCATTGTCTGTCTCATCCACTACCAAAGAATCTCTGTATGGAGGGTTTTATCTTGTTTACCTGTATCCTCAGTACCTATAACAGAACCTGGCACATAATACTAGGGGCCCCAAAATAGAGATAAGTGTTTTAGATGGAAAATTTAGGGAAGACAATGAAGGCAGTGCCTTTAAACTGGACCGGATTGGGCAGGATTTCATCAGATATTTTATTTTGAAGTGTTAGGGGAAGTAAGTTAGAGGAAAAAGCGTTAGCGAAGATGCAAATTTAGAAATCATTGGCCTGGACTTCCCTCGTGGTCCGGTGGTTAAGACTCCGCGCTTCCACTGCAGGGGGTGCAGGTTCGATTCCTGGTCAGGGAAATAAGATCCCACAAGCCCTGCAGTGAGGTCTTTAAAAAAAAAAAAAAATCATTGGCCAAACTTTGGGAATAATGACTTGCTTTCCAGTCACACTGCAGTATGGGGGTTAGGATTTCAACTTTTGAATCTGGGGGGACACAAACAAGCAGTTCACAATAGACATCTATACTGCATCCGGAGGCAAGTGTACATTCAGGCTTAGGAACAGTTGCCTTGCACATGGGTGACATTGGATACAAGATGTGTGGATAGATTCTTTTATTTATTTATTTTTTATTATTTTATTTTTGGCTGTGTTGGGTCTTCGTTGTTGCACGAGGGCTTTTCTCTAGTTGCGGAGAGCGGGGGCTGCTCTTCCTTGCGGCGCGCACCTTGTTGTGGAGCACGGGCTCTAGGCAGGCAGGCTTCAGTAGTTGCGGTACTCAGGCTCAGTAGTTGTGGCTCACGGGCTCTAGAGCACAGGCTCAGTAGTTGTGGCGCAAGGGCTTAGTTGCTCCGTGGCATGTGGGACCTTCCCAGACCAGGGCTCGAACCCATGTCCCCTGCATTGGCAGGCAGATTCTTAACCACTGCGCCACCAGGGAAGACCCAAGATATGTAGATAGGTTCTTATTAGAACATAGTGCATTGATGCAGTGATGCTTTTGCAGGCCATATTTGAAAAATGAAATTATTATTCATGGCAATCACTAATGCTAGGCCTTTTCAGTAGAGGGCACTGGAGGGGTATCTAGGAACATGTCTTCCAGTTTCAGTGCTGTTTATCTTGGTCAATCAGTGACTTCCTACATAGTTTCCCCAGGAATCCAGTGGGCAGTTCCCAAGTAAGCCCCAGTGGGCAGCTCTCTAGCAAGTCCTTTGGGTGCCCCAGTGGGTGTCTTCCATGCAAATCTAATTGGCACCCCAGTGAGTGGTTATTTTCTTGCTTGCCAGCCTCAGCCTGCAGGAACTTAGCAAACTTGGCCATCTCTGGGGCCATAGCCACACCTTCCAGTGAAATCTGAACCTCAGCCCTGGTGGAGCTCATTTCTGGGCTTGTTTCTTCCTTGGGCACTATCCTTCAGCCCTATGGGTAGTGGCTGCATCTCATGTTTATTTTCTTGTATTCTTTAGTGTTCTTTTACCTTTTACTAGTAAAATGTTTATTCTCTTTGTACTAGTTAGTAATTCTTTACAGTTTCCCTGATTAAATTACTGGCGTGGTTTCTGTATCCGGTTGGGATCTTACTGATAAATGATTATTCCATGTATAATGGATATCACCCAGATGTAGCAATTGGTAAATTCAGAATGTGCCTTTTAAATGCTAATATATTTTCCTTTCTAATTACCAGCAATTGGTCATCATATGGCAGAATCTACATCCAAACTTAGTAAAAAAAAAAGCCCTCAATTTACCCAAGTATATGTTGAAATGAAAGCAAAGCACCATAAAATGTCAGTTGTCAAATGAATTTGAGAAGCATATGAAAATGTTTTCTTTTCTCTTTTGCAGCAGACATGCTAATAAAACAAATATTTGAATGACAAATCATAGAATAACATGAACTTGAGATTTAATTGTGATCTGTTGAAACTGCATTATCCAAGCCATGATATGGAAAAACAAAAACAACAAATAAAATATGTTTTGTCAAACCTCTGTGTCTAGAGTAGTGGAGAGAAATAAAAATACTGAGCCAGTGTTATTTGAAAATACGGAACCAGTTCTTGGGGAAATTATTATTGGCTTTTCCAGAGATAATTCTATGGTCTAGACCAAGGAGTGACCAATTAAGGCTGCAGGTTGATCTCCTGCCTTTGCAAATAAAATTGTATGAGAATACAGCCATGGCCATTCGTTTACATTTTGTCTGTGGCGGCTTTTGCTTGACAATGCACAATAGAGTAGTTGTGACAGAGACCAAATGACTCCACAAAACCTCAAATATTTATTATCTGTCTCTTTAGGAAAGTTTGCTGACCCTGCAGGACGTGGGATCTGTTTTCGCCATTGAGGCTTGAAAGCAGCTAAATAAATGATTGTGACTAAGTTCCAGTAAAACTCTATTTATAAAAACAGGCTACAGCCCAGATTTGGCATATGGACTTTCATTTGCTGACCCTTATTGTAGAGCATAGTAGGTATGCAATAAATATTAGCTGAATAAATTTTTAAAATTGATTAAAAAATTCTAATATTGCCAACATATTCTGTTCTCTTTTTCAGAGTGTGTGTGTATCTAGATGATACTTATGTGACAACTGACCACCGGGTCTGATGGATGACTTATGTAACCTCTGGAGAGTTACCTACATTGTGATCAGAAAGTACTGTGCCCGTGTGGAAAACATTGCAGTCCTGGGCTAAAGATAAATTTCATGCTTGATAAAAAACGACCAAAAGGTAAGGCTTCTCTCTGGTGTGCTGCAGTCTTCAGTCTTCTGTTTTTCATCCCCACTGGCAACTCAAAGCTGTCCTTAATCCATCATATACCTCTTGAGTGTGTGCTCTGGGTTCACTGTCATGATGAAAAACTACTCCATGAACTCAGCAGAGGAACTCCAGATTGAATCTCAGCTGTTTACATAGCTTCTGAAGAAAATGTCACCCAAATATGGGAAACAATCCAAGAGGCATTTTGAGTATTTGTTTTAAACTAGAAATATTGACAGTGGTACATGTTTTTTTTGAAGCTGTTTGTTAGTTCTACAAATCCAGGGAGGCAACTTTCACTAGCCAGTTTGAGATTACCTAATTTGATGATGCTACCTCCGTTATCTCATTCAAACCTGCCCTGGCACCTCTATCCTACTGCAAGTAGCATAATCCAGGCCCTTATGCCTCTTCTCTGAATTGCTGCCTCCAGCTCTTCATGTCTCTAATTTGTTTCACCTTTCTCAGATTAATCTTCCTGAAGCACAGATTCCATCACACCACTATTTTTCTCAGAAACCCCAAATGATTCCCATATGCCTGGAGAATAAACTATCGTTTTAGCCAGTCAACAGCCTTCGGTTCCATTTATCTCTACCACTCCCTACCCCTTCTGCTTACTCTCGACTACTTCCTTTCATGGAGGGTTGCCAGATAATAATATACAGGATACCCAGGTAATTTGAATTTCAGATGAAAATGAGTAACTTATTAGTATGAATATATCCCAAATACTGCACGGGAAATATTCATACTATAAAAATAATTCATTATTTATATGAAATTTAAATTTAACTGGTATTTTTATTTGCTAAATCTGGCAACCCTACTTCCATGCTTGCTATATTTACCAGATTCAAATATATTTTGTTTTCTCTATGTACCTCATGCTTTTCAGTTTTTCTGATTCTTGTCAGAATTACCTCCTAAATACCTAGATGCCATAAATAAAATATGGAGCACATAACTGTTCACTCTCCTAAGTCAACATGATGTAGAAGAAAGTATAAAAATGAGACATACTTGGATTAGCATTATGGCTTCAAGTTGGCCATCTCCGTGACCTTTGGACAAACTGCTTAGCTTTTATAGGCTTCATTTTCTCCATCTACACAATGAGGATCAGAATACCAACTTCAAGTGATTATTTTAAGGTTAAGTGTGTAATTTTATAAAATCTTTCTAAAAATATGTGGTTCATAGGAGGGGTTCAATAAATGACAGTACCATATCAACTTTCTTCTTTTATCAGTGCTTCTTAAACTTGAGTAACCTCAAAGTTCTCCCAATATATGGATTCCAATGTAAGAAACACTTTATTAAATAGGTGGTCATTTCCCACCTTACACATAAATACTAATCAAACTTAAGCAATGAAAGTCTGAGCAAAGCATGGTTATTAGAGGTTTATCTAGATAATCTAGAATAAGATATATTTTTCAACTCAACAAAATACAAAGACAATATTTAAACACTGTCATAAAGAACTTTAGGAGTCACAGGAATACACCAGTAGATCCTTATTAGAGAAACACTGCAGTCAGTCTTATTTGTATATATGCTTTACTCTCTACTAGACAGATTGTCCTTAGTCAGGCCACATATCTGGGTTTTGTTTCTTTTCCATAGAGAAGTCTTCTGTAGAGCAGAAACTTATATTCATTAACTGAAAGGCTGATTGACTGAATATATAAATATTGATCTCAAATTCAGAAGTATAGGCTTTAATGATGACTTATGTGTACGTTTAGCAATACCATTTACATCCAAGGCCTGTTTTTTTTTTTGGCTTGTGGCTTGTGTGATCTTAGTTCCCTGACCAGGGATTGAACCCATGCCTTCAGCAGTGAAAGCGCAGAATCCTAACCACTGGACCGCCAGGGAATTCCCCAAGACCCTTCTTGATGGTGTATCTGTACCACCTCTTCTGTATAGAGACTGGGTTATGTGACTTTGGCCATGGTTTATTGGACATCTGACCTGGCTGGCGTATGCTGAGTCAACCAGATTTTGTCTCACAGGATGTGGGAATTGTTGTCAATCTCTGGTGGGTATTTGAAGTAAAGTGCTGTCTGCCTCCCATGGGGCATCTTATTCTACTGGGAGAAGCAGATAAAATTATTCTGCAGAGGGTGATATTAATGAGGCAGCCACTGAACTGGGGCTTAAGAGAAATTGCAAAGTAACCTGTGACCCAGCTTTCCACTACCTGATTTAGTCCCTTATGGAAGTAAAGTGCTCGTAACTCCTATTTTTGTTAAGAAAGTTTGAGGCTATTTTTTGTTATTCACAATCAAATAACCTCTAATGAAAGCACTCGGGTCAAAGTTGAGTACATCTTTCAGGACAGCTGCATAGAGTAGTGAGGGTCACCTGTGGGCAGTGTGAGTTTTAGAGCTGGCTGTGTGCATGTGCTCTTTCAAGGCAGAGGAAGCTAAAGGAAAGCAAGAGGGAATGGTAGACAGGTGAGAGAAAGGACTACCGATTGGCTAAGTGAATATCAAAAAACTTGGGGAAATTGTCTAATGCAATTCTTTACTAAGTCATAGTAAATGGTGTGCACCCTCTCCTTCATTTTCCTGTGACATGTTCAGAAAACCTATAATATTCACTAAACTTTGGATGAGTGTGCCTTTTTTATAATCAATGTGCAAGACGAATATGTTGGGTGGCAAGATTGATACCTGTTTTGACTAAATGTAGTAGTGGGGCCCAGACTTGGATTTCAAATATGCTGGGCTATTGTTTCAGTTTTCATTTGAAGAAAAGGTTTCATAGGTAAAAATTTTCATAAAACAGGCATAATAAAAAGAGCCTGAACAAAGAATTGAAAGGTATGGGATAATGTTCAAGATGCCTCATCTCTTCGTTATGTCTCATGTCATATTACTGATAGAGTAATCCTGGAAAATATTAGAAGATTTTATGAGTTCAAATATTATAAGGAGAATGAAAACAGTTTATAAACCACAAAGAGCTACAAAGGTTAGAGGCAGTATTAGGTTTACAGTTTAGATTATGAGCTCCTTTTCTTTGCTTCTGTTTCCTAATATCCAGTGCAGCAATCATAATAACTTAGGAGGTGCTCTTAAATTGATTGTTGAAGAAATGAACCTAGGCTTCAGAATCACATATGTATTTTATATATATACAAATAAATCAATCTCAAAGCATTCATTGACAAAGAGAATGCAAACTGTCCTTGTCTACTAGGGAACAAATGATAGGAAATAGCAACAGAATTGATTTAGGTTAAAGTCACATCCCAGTAGTGAGGATGGTAGCAGAGGAAGTCGAATATCCCTTCCTTAGAGAGTCTAAAGAGATTGGATTTTGTTCTCCTTGGAGCAATTTAAATCTAATCTTTATGAACTTGAAGATCTCTCAGTATCTTTTCTGTCCCTTTAATTTTAGGATTAAAATGAATCTGAAATCTTCTTTACATCTGGGACAGCAATTGATGTCTTCTGTATAGGCTTAGATAACTCTGATTCAGTGGGACATGTCCAAAAAATGCACTGCAGCATATATGTCACTTGGTTGGTTTCTCATTTGGCATATTTATCATAAGCATTTCTGGTATATAATTCTAAAAGGCTTAAAACAATCTGTAGGCGTTTTTACCTTCAGTGAATCACTCTGAGGGCATATAGCATGTTCCTTTAGGTCTTTGATGTGAGTAATAGAGAGTATATGTAACTTAGTGCTCTTGTGACTAATTTCATGTAGGTTGCTTTTATTTATGGAACGACATGCATGAATCACTCCATGTAGTTCAGTGGCTTTACATAAATATGTAAACAATGCATCCCACTTTCTGACTGATAGTTTTTAGAATAATGGTAACATGTAGACCAGAAGATATGGCATCTATACAAGTTTACTTCATAGTTTTTCTGGATGACTTTTGTTCTTAGAACTGCCTTCAGTTTGGGGCAAGGCCCTGAACTTTAGAGGGCTCCGTGTATCACACAAACACAGAGTACATTTATCTAAGAGTATGTGGTTATTTCTGTCACTTGGGATCTAGGACTCATACTGGCATAATTCAATCTGAAACCATGAGCATCTATTCTCATGACCAGCACCATTCTCACCTCAGGAAATCACTTCTCCACATCTTGCTCTGTATTTTCAATATAAAATGTAGTCATATCCAAATGTTATAAAGATTTGTGAGACATGATACTGCTGGTGTCACAGATGGACTGTGCTTTAGAAATCAGAGAGAATTTGAGTGGCAAACTTACACAGATGAAAGAAAACACAAATAATTTGCATCAGTCTGGGTTTGATCAGGAAAACGGAACCACTCTAGGTGTTGTGAGAAAAAATATCCATTAAAGGAATTAAGGTTGCCGTGATTGTGGAAACAGCTGAGAGAGTGAATGTTGGAAGTCTGTAGCTTGAAGGTGAGGGAAATAGTCACTAAGGACCTCAGCTGGAGGCTCTAAAACGTGCAATTCTTAAAGGATTGCCCGGGAATTGCTGCAATTTCAATATCTCTGGGAAAGTTCCTACCAACTAGTGGGCTATCATGAAAATATGGATGCATCTGGAATGCTTGGGAAGTCAATGAACATCCTCCATCTACCCATGAATCTTGTTACCACAAACTCCAAAGAATAATGATTTCTTCTCCATTCTGCCTGCACAATATCACACGAGTTTGTCTCATTGGTAGTCTCTAACCCAGAACCATACAAAGTTCAGGCTCCTAAAAAATGTAGTTCCAGGCTACTCCTCTGCATTGCATAGGAGGGCAGTAGGGGCAGTGTTGAGTTGACAACCAGCAATTCAACACAATCACCCCTTTATCAACTCAACATCCAAGTGTAACACTTCTCCTTAAATATTTAATTTATGAATAAAGACAAATATAATGTGTTTCTTCCAACTAATATGATGCACTTAACCTTAATTCAAGTACAGACACATTCATTTTCCCCAAAGGGAAGGCAGAAAGGCTC